CTCCTAGCTCCGCCTATCTTTCTGCCTCATTGGCCAAGCGGTGTTTTATCCACCAACCAATAAGAGAAACATCTATACAGAAGGATATCCTCATCACACCTGCTTTACCCCCTCCAGTGGGAAAGAGCTCCACGGTGGTGCCATCTGCCTACACCCACTCGCAGCCTCCTTTGAGGGGGAAAGCGAAGAGCTGCCTGGTCTTTGAACCTTGAGTCACTAGACATAGGAAAGCTGCTTTGGGACTAACACCATAAAAGATGAGCACTTCTGAAGAGGTGACATTTGGCTGGAGCTAACCATAGACTCTCAGGGTAGACAAACATCTTAGAGGTAGAGTCTTTGGTCCAGGGTCACTGGGAATCCTCCAGAAGTTGATGCTGTGGTTGATATGTCCCAACACAGTAAATAAGCAAACATAATGTTCATGAAGCTTTGAGTTGAGGGTGGTGGGCAGAGGGTCCATGACATAGTGAGGCACATAGGTTGGCTACTGTACACAAAAGCCTCTGGCTCTGACCAACTGGCTGGGCGAGCGTCCTCACATTGCCAGACATTTGCATTTCTGTGTAAAAATAGACCAATCTGTAATCACTGGAAGTCCATCCGGTTTGGGGAAATATTTCACGCAGAAAAAGCAACAGCAAATCTGTAGATGGCCTAAAGCCTTCAGTCCACAGCCCGGCTCAGCCTAACATCTGTGCAGACACATGTGGCCTTTTTCTGTGGAGGGCATTTACAAGAAGGCATGCAGGCTCCATGGCACCCCCTCACTCCCCATTTCCTCTTTGCCCTCACTCTGGCCTCTGCCTGCACACCCCCGCACACACACCGCTTCTCTCATACTCGTGTTTATTTTCAGAGCCTCGGGATCCTCCCCAAGCCTGTGACATTTACTCTTCAGAATGAGAATCTTTTCTATTTCTGGTTCCCAGAGCGAGGCTGCTGGTGAGATTTTCCTATCCTCCTCCTGCCCTGCAGGAGGAGATGAGCTAGGGCAGGGCACCCACTGTGTCAACCAGTAACTATAAAGCACTTGCTACATGCCAGGCCTTTCTTGTGAGTTGAGTTCCATCCACAAGACAGGCCTGCAGGGTATATGTTTCCAGCGATGCAGGCCCAGTTAACACAGAGCCTGTCCTCCTCAGCAGGATGGGGAGGGGATGAACTGGAGAGGGTCAGAGCTTGTTCTCTAGGATTCAGGGCCTTTGCTGTGTCCTCTCTGTGACCTTTAGGGTCCATGGTTATTGGTGAGTTGGTGGAAGAGCAGAGTTCAAGGTGACTAAGAGCTTAGGAGGTAAGGCAGGGGATTCAGGCAGAGGAGGCAGCAGTGGGGGTAGGCAGGGGACTTGAGCCCCAGAGCTGGAGAGTTGAGTACCAGCTTCAAAGCAGGTCTGGCCCCTGTAGTTGCAAGTGACAGAAACCCCAGCTCATCCCGGCTGAGTTCAGAAGAAATGTAACTCTCAGGAGAGGTCAGTCGAGTAGGGGCTGATGCAGATGGAGAAGGACCCTGGGAGAAACTAAGCTGATCAGACAAATCTCCCTAAACAAGAAAGGCATAGCTCACAAGAGCAAAGGTAGAGCCAGGAGGCTGGCATATCATCTCGAGCTGCTGCTGACTTAAAACTTGATTTAGTCACTTATTTAAGACAAGGGATCACTATGAGGTTGCCTACAAATCACTATCCTACAGTTAGCTCAGAATAGTCATGAACTTGAAGGCCTCCCGAGTGCTGGAATTGTAGCAGATCTGGTTTAGTGTTGTTGTTGATGATGATGATGACAATGGCGTGTGTGTGTGTGTGTGTGTGTGTGTGTGTGTGTGTGTGTGTGTGTGTTTTGCTGGGGATGGTACTAGAAGCCTTGAGCTCTCTAGGCAAGTATTCCATCATGAAGCTACAGCCCTGCCTGTGGCTCTATTAACAGTAGTGCCACAAACTCCTGGAGGAAGTTTGTAGCTCAGCCCCCTCCAGCCACCACCTTGCTGCCTGCACCGCAGCTCCTCTAGCTGACCCCAAGCTCTTTGTCTTATGCTGATGCCTCTTGGCCCAGGCCCTTTGCACGTGCTCCCTTGTGTCCAACATGGTGCCCAACACCTCCCAGCTCTCCATAAATAAAATGGCAGGAGAGGGCTGTGAAGGAATGGATGTCACTGCCCTGAGTGGGGCAGGGAGAAAGGTACGGCAGATGACCTCCATGACTCCATATGGCAAAATGCAGAGCCAGGAGAACGAGAGCCTGGGGGTAGGAATGGGAATAAATGCACCAACGGCAAGGACAGGCTGCTGCTGGGCATCGGTGAGTTTGTCCTGCCCCCTCCCCTCTGTGCCCTTCTCCCTGATGCTGCGTCCTTCTGCACAGGTGCCCTTCTGGGGATGTCTAGTTCTGATTTCCACAGCCCTTAAGGAGGAGGCTGCAGTGACCAAGTGTGATCATGTATGCTCAGGTGGCTTTTCTGTTGGGACTTTGACAACCCAGATGTCTGCGCACAGCATCCGTGACTTCTGCTAAAGACGCAGGGGACAGGAGCAGAGAGGGCTCCCACTGGGCTGCCTGGTTGGCACTAGTGGCTTGGAGAAGTGGGCTTGGTGATGGTGGTCAGGGGACCAGCTTGTTTCTTGTTGCCATCCCCTCTTCCCAGAAGCCCCATCACCCCAGCATGCATGGTACACCCCCCCACACCTATTCATGGCATCTGCAACTTCCATTATCCCCTTCTTACCCACTTCATGGCAAGTGTCCAAACATCATTCATCCTAGGGGCCTCCCTCCCCATGAGGCCCAGGGAGCCTGAATCAGCAGCCAGGATGACACATTTCATCTATATGAAGGGCAGTGGACAGATTACTATAAACAGATCACTGCCCTTTCCCAGGTCTCAGTTTCCCTCTCTGGGAAATGTCCTGGAGGGCACATCTCTAAGCTCCTCACTGTAGGATTCTGTGAATAACCTTTAGGAGCCTTGATTTTCTTCTGTCACATCGAGTGACAGGCACCAAGATCACAGAGGTACCTGACTGCTCAGCCCAGAGTCCACCCAAAGCATTCATGGCCACTGCTCTGGCACCCTCTGCAATTGTGGTGGGTCTTCTAATCTGGTGGGCATGTTCATTGTTGTCATGGGTGGGGTCCCTTTGCTCTTGGGAGAAGCCTCTGCTCGGATGGATGTGGTCTATGTTCTGATGCACAGTGCTGCAGGTATCTGTCTAGAGATTGTCTCCAGATAAAAAGATAGCTCAGCGGGTAAAGCTGCTTGCCTTCAAGCCTATTGACCCACATATAATCCCCAGGACCCATATAGTGTAAGGAAGGAACCAAGTCCTACAAATTGTCCTTTGACCTCCACACATGCTCTGGGGCATACATGCACCCACTCCCACCCACTCTCATACAAACAAACAAACAAACAAACAAATAAATGTAAAAAACAAGAGCTTCCTGTCTCTCTGCACCCTAAACTTACAAAGGCACCACTTGCTGCAGTGTTCTGGAAGCTTCTCTGGGTATCACTGGGTCAGCACTTCATCAGCATATCCCCCCTGCCTCACAACCCACAGAGGCACCAAGTCAGGACCTGAGTAAGCCTTGGAGAATGTGAAGCCTCCTGTTCCCAACTGTTCACAGCACATTAGAGCCTCCTGTTGCAGAGACCCCACCAGAGCCACCCATGCCCTCCTGCCCCATGGCACCCATTCAGGAATTGAAACTGAGGCTCGGAGACATCATGAGACTGGCCCATCCTGGTTCTTTCTAAAGAAGGGAGAGTGGGATTTGAACCTAGGCCTGCTAGGAATCAGTCTCTATAGATGGTTCCTGAACACTGGCCCCTTTAATAGCAGACAAAAGTTCTGTCTAGACCGATGCACATACCATCATGGTCCTGTCACACAGTGCTCAGTGCGGGTGGCTGTTGATCAGGGTGAATGGTGGTAGATCTCTCACCCTAGCATCCTGATAGTTGGCTTCTATGTCCTGGGTCCTCACTGATGCCCAGCTCACAGATCCACTCAGCTCCCACAGGCGTGTCCACTGATGCAGAGGACTGATGAGAGTCACCAGGAGACTGATTTTTCCTGAACCCCAAGAGACTTTGGAGGGGATTCATGATCCCCAATCCTTGAGATTTGGGTCCCTGACCCACACTCTAAGAGGCTGTTCCCCAGGATCCTCATTAAAGTGATGCTGTGTGCTGTTACAATGATATGCATGCTGGGCTCTTTGCTGGGTCACCACAGAGAGACACATAGACACAGGAATGCAGGCCACTAGGCATGTTGTGGGAATAGGACATGCCCCGCCACCCTGCAGGAGCTTGAACTACCCATTGGCACAGGACACTGACTTTAGGGTGTGTATCCCTGTCTTCCTGCCGAATGCCAGGCAGCAGCTAGCTATTGACGGGCTGGGATTACCGGTTCTGTCTCACTGGCCTTGGAGGTTGTTCTTAGCCACTGAGCCTGGGTAACATGGGGGTACACACTAAGGTGTCTGCCCTCAGGGGCTCAAGGTCTGATGGGAGAGGCAGGTGCACAAGCTCTGTGGCGGGGTGAGTGGGTTGTGTTTTAACAGCACTAACGTGAGTGAAGGCTTGAGACCTGCCACCACAGGTCTCTCCAGACCACAGGACTCTGGGCAAGTTCCACTCCTTAAGGGTCCTCTGACTTCCCATCTACACAATGGGTTCCCATTGGGATATTGGGGGAATGGGTTCATCCATGCAGTTAAGTGTCTGGCCTGGTGCCTGGTGCACAGCAGTTGCTGACTAAGCCTCCGCTCTTATTTGTGAATCCAGTGAGCAGGTGTTTGGTGAGCACCTGCTGTGGGCCTGGCCCTGTTAGGGGAAGTGAGAATTCCATACCGAAGGAATCCAGATTCTGCGTCCTTGCCTAATCACAGGGTTAAATGCCGATTGTGAACAGAGGCCAGCTCTGAGCGGAGGGTGGGCCTGGCAGGAGCCTCTCTGAGCAGGTGGCAGGTCAGCTGAGAAGAGCAATAATTAGACACTTACTGTGTGTACAGGAGGAGGAAGGAATGTATGGCTGTGCAAAATCCCCATGGAGGAAGAGGCTTCTGCTGAGAAGAGCCCCTGCAGCAGACAGCAGAGACAAGGTGAGGACTGAGGAGAGAGGGCTAGTGCCGCAAGGTGTCCCTTGCACTGAAGTTTCTGACTTGTGACATGGATAGTGTGAGAGAACAGGGAGGGAGACAGAATGGCTCCTCTCTGTCCTTGGGTTGCTATGTGAACAGAAAGTAAATGGCAGACAATGGGGAGAGGAGGGGCTTGAGGGCCAGATGGGTATAGTGTTTGCAATTTAACTGAGGACAGGTCTACAGGGCTTGGGGCCTGCCATGTTTCTGCAGGAGGGCGTATTCAGACTCCACAGGACTCACATTCTGGGAAGACACCAGGTGCAGGCAGGCGGGGGGAGGGGAGGGGATGATGCTGGCAGGATCTTCAGACAGGACAACCCAGTGTCCAGAAACCCAATCCACACAGTGGAATGTATGGTGTCAGAGAAAGCAGTGTCTCTAAGAAATGCCAGGGTGTGGAGAGGTCCAGGACAGCCAGGCTCAGCAAAGCGGCCAGATGCAAACACCTCCCAGCATGACTCCATCAAACACAATGTCAAGGCAGGGCTGGTCTACAGTGACTGGAGGTGGGAACCGTCAATGTGGACCCCGCCCCCCCATGCTTGGTGGAGCGATGTGTATCCTTTCCCTAAGCGGATGGCTGTCAAGGTGCACGACTTTGTTACTTTCTATTGCTGTGACTAAACACCATGGCCAAGGCAACTCATGAAAGAAAGTGTTTAACTGGGCTTGTGGTTTTAGCGGGTTAGCGTCCCTGATGGTAGAGCAAAGGCATGGTGGCAGAAACAGCTGAGAGCTCACATCTTGACTGGAAAGCAGGAGGCAGAGAGACACAGTGGAAATGACAGGGTCTTCTGAAACTCCAAAGCCTGCCCCTAGTGACACACCTCCTCCAACTCCAACAAGGCCATACCTCCTAATCCTTCCCAAAATAGTTCCACTAACTAGGAACCAATATTTGAGCCTGGGGGGGACATTGTCATTCAAACCTCCACAGTGCACAACTATCGACTTACTAACATTTTTTTAATTCACATTTAGTAAATAAGTATATAGGCTGAGTATAGTGGCGCATACTTGTGTAACACTTGGAAGAGGCAGGAGGATCAGGAGTTTAAGGTCTTCCTAGGCTGCACAGGTAGTTTGATTGTGACCCAGTGACTGCTCTCTCCTTCCTCAGGCTCCTGTGAGTCCTGACTTGAATGAAAATGGCCCCCATATGCTCATGTATTTGGATACTTCAGTTTGTGGAACTGTTTGGGAAGGATTAGGAGGTGTGGCTTTGTTGGAGGAGGTGTGCCATTGAGGCTTCAAAAGCCCACACCAGCCCCTCCCCCTCTCTTCCTGCCACCAACTTTCAGGTAAGAGGCAAGCTCCCAGCTACTGCTACAGAACCAAGCCTGCCTGGCTGCTGCCATGCTCCCCTCGAGGATGGTTATGGACTCACCTTCTGAAACTGTAAGTAAATTTCCAGTTAAATGCTTTCTTTCGGAGTTGCCTTGGTCATGGTGTCTTTTCACAGCATTAGCAAAGTAACTAAGACCATGTGTGAATGCACAGAGCTGTGGAGACAGACACCGCAGTGCCTCACAGATGGATACCATAAGGTACAGTGAGTCCCCTTGGAGACAAAGAGTTACACAGACCCAGCCAAAACAGCCAAGGGCGGTGGCTAATGAGCAGGGAGGGGCAGGGTGTTGTTTGTATTGGCAGCAAGCCTGGTGGCAGCCAGTGTTTTACCAAGCATCCTTAAGGACTTGCTGGGCAGACTATCAAGGAGCTTGGTTACTAGAGAGGAAGACTGGAAAGGGGACAGAGGGAAGGGGGTGGGGTGAAAGGAGAGAAGAAAAAACGAAGAAGAGGAAAGTGGAGGAGAGCAATTAGAGAAGAGGGGGAGGAGAAGGAGACTTGGTTGGACAGAATGAGGGAGAGATGACAGAGCAAAGGAAGGAGAGAGTAGGAAGGCAGGAGGGAGAGGGAGGAGGGGAGGGCAAGAGTTAGAGAAGATAGAACAGGAAGGAGGGAAGATACAGAAACCACACCATGAGGGGGGAGAGAGGGAAGACAAAGGGCGAGAGGAGGAAGGGAAATGGGATGGGGTGGGGGATGGCAGGCAGCTCTATGGTGGGTGATGCTTTTTGGGTCTCGGAAATGAAGTGTTGTAGGACTCCCAGCCTCACTCACTGGCAAGCCAAGCAACAGAACATTTTAGCTCAGGGTTTGTTAATGGCTCCCAAGGCAGGAATATCTGCAGTGCCCCTTCTTCTGACCCTGTCACACTCAGGAAAAAGCTCAGCCTGACTGGGCGTCTCTGTGGGGTCCAGTACACTGCAGTGCCTTCTTCCATCTGAGCCAGGTAGAAAGACTGTGGGGCAGACATAAAACTCATCCTTAGAGATGCTGGATGCTGGATGCTGGATTCTTGGGTCCTGGGACCAGGTTTGCTGTGAACTGGGTGAGTTTGCTGTGTGTCCTTAACCTTTCTGGGCCAGACTCCTTTGTCCCAGGAGGTGGCCACAGGTTCACTGTCCTGTGGTGTGTATGATGTGCTGGGAATAGCTCCAAATTATCCATAGGTGGTTCTCCCTCCATCATTTAATTATTAGAACTTAATTATTGTTGCAGTTTTCATTTTTGAGACCAGGACATGCAAGCCCTCAGGGATGACTAACCACTTAAAGTCTCATGGATCATTCACAGAAAGGCAGACTGCCCCTCCTTCTGCAGCAGGAAGCCTGGTCACCCCAGGGATTCTTTCTGGCTTTCTGGTTCACTGTCATTCCCTCATGTCTCAGGATGATCGGTCACTGAGTAGATCCTGTGACCAGAGTCCCAAAAGTTGGCCTGCCCATCACCACAGAGGCTGACAAGCAGAGGTGAGAAATGAATATTTAAAGATGCTTCTGTCTCATCTCCTTCTGGCAAGTTTGACAGAGGCCAAGAACAGAGACAGTCAGTTAGCCAGGGGTCCGCTTTTTGCCCCTCTGTTCAGGTGATGAAACACACACACACACACACACACACACACACACACACACACACAGTCTCAGCAGATGAGTGTCTCTGGAATAAGAGTCCTTGAAGGTGGGGTTAGTGAGAGTGTGTCAAGATGACACTGTGTGGTGACTCCGTGTGGGGGGAACAGTGTGGCAGGTAGCATGGAGACCGTGGGTAGGTGGCTTCCCGCAGCTGTGGACCATAAAGACACAGTATCTTGTGTCACTGAGGAGCAGCTGCTGCAGAGAAGGCTCCCATTCAGTGTGAACCAGGCCCAGGCCCACGTGTGCCTCAGCAGCTGCTTCTCAGTTTGCGGTGGACCCTTAGGCATGGGCAGTTGATGAACTGCAGCAGCAAGGATGTCCCTTCGGGGGTCTAGTCTAGAGTCTTCCAGCCACAGTTTCATCTCATGCCTCTCCTGTCCCTGCTTGTGGCTCTTCTCAACTCTGTCTGGCGTTTGGGTTTAGCCCCGATTGCGTATGCAGCACAGAACCCTCTGCAAGGCCCCATCTGTCAATATGTCTGCAGTCCCAAAGTGGCTCCTGCTTCAGATCAATGATGTTTACCAAGCTGGGCAGGAAGGCGGTGAGTTATTTTTCTTCCCTCCCCACATCCTATTTTGAGTCACCAGCCATCTCTCTTGTTTTGCAGACTGAGATGATTGACAAGTTCTGCTCCCAGGATGGACGTCAGGGTCTTGTCCATTGGCTCTCCAGCTGGACTGAACCCCTATGCTATACACTTATGTCACCCTGTCTGCATCAGCTCTGTTGGACGGGTCACCAGGGAGACTGAGTCACTTAACTAAGAAAGCATCTCAGAGCTGGGCAGATGGCTCCGTGTGTAAAGTGCCTACAGAACAAGTGTGAAGACCTGAGTTCAAATCTCCAGAACCTATGGGGAAACAGGCATGGTCATCTGTAATCTCAGAGTTTGCATGGCAAGATGAAATGGAGACATTGGTAAACAACAAAAAGACACTGTTCCAAACAAGGTGGAAGATGAGATCAAACACCTTAGGCTGTCCTTACACACGTGCACACACACACACACACACACACACAGAGGCAAGAACCACAGGGCCTCACCTTGAGTCCAGGACAAAGTGACTGCCTCTTCTCCTCCATCTCTAAAGTTTTTTTAATTGCTTAGAATGCCCATGTTCCATGATAGCCTGTGTCATCCCCTTTCACACTTGTCAAAATGGAGGCACGGATGTGTGGTACTAATCCCCAGTCCCCCGTGGCTTCCAGCATCCCTGCTCTAAGCTGCTGAGTTACAGGAAGCCCATGTCTGGCTATCACTCCCACATCCCCACTCCTAGCTCTTGTCTGCTGGTGTGGAATCACCTCTCAGGACCCTGAGTGGGAGCCTGTTCCCAAGGGATGGGGGTGGAGTCCCTTACCTGGCACATAGTAGGTGCTTCGCTGAGGGCATCCACAAGCAACAATGACAACCTAGGCCTAGGCTGAGACCCGGATGACCCTGTCTCTGCATCTTAACCCCCACTCTACCACACATTAATCCCACTCTAAAGAGCTGGATTCCCGGGCAGATCCACTTCATTGGAGAGAGCCCTGCCCGTGAAGACAGAGCAGGCCGGGCAGGAAAGCTCCTCGGGCTTGCCCATCACTCCAGAGATCGATGCTCTGTGATTGCTGCTCCAACGTCTGTCAGCAGCTGCCTAATTTTAGCCCGATCTTTGCAGGCTACTTGCCCTGCTCATCCGCCCCCGTGGATGGCGAGAGGCTTCGAGAGGCACCATTGATCTTTTGACTAAAGTGTCCTAATGAAATACAAATCTGTTGTCACTTAAAGAGCCATCTGTCATGGTGGCACAGAAGAAATGCTACCAGGAGAACAATAACCATAATTTCATTTTAAGACCCAGTCCTCCTCCCCCTTTTCCTGCCAGAGAAAAATCGATGTCTTTTACTGTTTCATTTTGCCACAGAGCAGTGGGGGAAAGCCATCAATAGGATGTTAAAGATATTTCCAGTTCTGCACCATCGCGCTGTTCAGGGGCCCATGACTTCTTGCATTGAATTAATGCTTATTTGCATGGGAGCTTCACTCAGCTTTGGTGATCAGTGTTGTATAAGTGGCTCAGGTTATAGCAGGGCTCCCAGGAGACCCTTGGCCTTGCACAGCCTCAGATCTGCCTGGATGGAATATACAGCCTGACATTGTGGTTTGAATATGGATTGTTCCCTAGAGTCTCCTGTATTGAGAGCTGATGACCTTTGAGGAAGAGATTAGATCCCGAAGGCTCAGATTTAATCAATTGATTAATCCCTTGATGGATTCACGATATGATAGCTTTACTGGAAATGGTCAAGAGTGGGAGACAGGGACTAGTTAAGGTGGAAGGCCGCTAAGGTGTACCCTTGGGGTTGTAGCTTGCCTTGGTCTCATCCTTCCTGCTTCCTGCCCATAACAAAGCGAGCAGTGCTCCCCTGCGTTCCCACTGCTCAGATGTTTTACCACCTATGTGTGTGGGGCCAAGTTGGCATGGACTGAGACAGAGAAAAACAAGTCACTCTTCCAGCGCTGTGACACTTATTTCTGGTCCCCTGTTGTCATTGGACTTGCTAAAATTCATACACAGCCTCCCTGGTCGTTGCTCCAAATTCCTGAGCTATAGACCGTCCATGTTCCTCCCCTGTTGCCCAATCCTTCCCTTGTCTGCTGATGTGGCATTGCTTCTCAGGAATCTTTTGGGAGCCTAGCATCAGGGGATGTGGCTGTTCTTTCATATCTGACACATAGTAGTTGCTTCACTGAGGACAACCAAGGGCAACAGTGAGAACCCTGAAGAGATGGCTCAGTAGTTAAGAGAACTTTCAGCGCTTGTAGAGGACCTGAATTTGGTTCCCCGTTCCCACATAGCGGCTCACAACCACCTGTAACCCTATTCTAGGGGCTCTGATGCCCTCTTTTGACCTCAAAGGTCACTGCAATCATGTGCACATACCCACACTCAGTCAAGCACACACATAATTCAAAATTTAAAAAAAATATTTTAGAAAACCCAAACATTTTTGGTTGTGAGCCTAGCCTTTAATGGCTGAGCCAGGAGAAGGACCTGGAACTGACTTGTGAAGCAACCTTGTTTCTTATCTAAATTTAAAAAAAAGAATAAAAAAATCATTATTGATTAAAAAAAACCCAAACATACATCTACTGTATATAACCCAGTTCTACTGTTCATGGGGATTTATCCAAAACACCTACAGCCAAAACATTACAGAGATTCTTATATATCAGAGTTTATAGCAATGCTGTTCACAAGAGCCAACCCAGGTGTCTATCAACAGAAAAATGGATAAAAAATGGTACCAAGACACAATGGAATTTTTTTTCAGTCAGAAAGAAGGGTAGAGTTATGCCATTTTCAGAAAAGTGGATACAACTGGAGATAATCATATTGAATACTTTAAGTCAGTTTCAGAACGACAAATGTTGCATTTTTTCATTCATTTGTGTTTCTTGATTTTATCTAGATAAATAGAGTCTATTGTGTGTATACAGGACATGAAATTGGAAATGAAATCTTCAAGAGGGAGAACAGGGACTATGGGGAAGAGAGGGGAGACAGCTAAAGGGAAGGGAAGACATAGGGAGAATATTCTGTGTATACACCAACATATGTTAATATGAAAATATCCTTATGTAACACAATACCATGTACAATGAATATACACAGTGACAAAAAATAAAAATAAACAAGTGATTCCTTCTTAAGTTGCTTGAGTCAAGTATTTGATGACCGAGGGCTCAGACCAATGGTTGAATTCATTCTTTGGTGGGTTCGTGATATAATTAATGGCTTCATTGGGAAACGGTGAAGAGTAGCTATGGCCCAACTGTCTACTGAGCAAATAGCGAATAGAGCTGGGGAGTGCCTGGAGTGAGAGAGAGGAGGCACGATGCCTTCGGTGGGAGAGTCAGCTGTTCTGGCATGGCTGGGACTACAGGCATGAGCGGGGGTAACCTCTATATGTCTATTTGCCTTGGAGACATGGGGGAGAAAAATTGACAGCAGAGGAGGAGAAGCTGAGGTCCCTCTAGTCAGCTCAGCATGAACCACGGAGAAATGGCAGGTTCCTTCAGATTCTGTTCCTGTGTCCAGTGTCCGCAGTGTTGGCAGCTGAGGAAGCCTTGAGGGAATATGTAAAGACCCGATGAAGTCCCAAGTGAACACGTATTACTGACATGGGCACAGCCATGTCTAGAACCAATGCCGAAGACACATGGGAAACTAGCAAAGCCTTCCCCATTTGGGACAGGCTTGGAGCTGGCAATGCCTTGACTGGGAATGTTAGCAGTGTGTGCAAAACCAGCAACTACAGCTTCCTCCTCTTGGGTGTTTACAGCCTAGATTTCTCACCTACAGAGACCTCCTACCAAAACTATCTAACCCCTCCCTGTGTCCTCTACACAAGAAACTCACTGAGGTTCTATTTGCTGTAGTAGTTAGTGCCACTCCATAACAATGTGCAGGGCCCACCCAACCCTAGCTTTTCTGTACATGTGTCAGTGTGTTTGCCCTTCCTTCATCTCTTGATGCCCCAGCCAGGGTTCTGGGATCCAAAGTGCATAGTAAGAAATATTTTATGTATACATTCCTTTCTTATTTTCTTTTGCATCTGTCTATCTCCTGTGTGTGTGTGGTGTACCTGTGTGTGCATACATGTGGAAACCAGGGGTTGTTAACAAGAGTCCTCCTCAGTTACTTTCCAGCTTAAATGTTGAAGCTGAGTCTCTCACTTGAGCACAAAGCATGCTAATGCAGCTAGTCTGGCCAGCAGGCTTCCTCTGGGGACAACTGTCTCAGCCGCCCATGCTGGAATGACAGGTGGGCCCGTTTCCTACTCATCGTTTGTGTGGGAGCTGGGGATCAGAACTCGACTCCTCACACTTTCACAGCGTGTGATTTCTTCACCAAGCTACTTCCCCAGCCTTAGGAAGACATTTTTCAAATCAGCTTTGTTGGAATGTAGCTGTGATCAAAAGCAACCCTGAGCATTAGTTTGATGAGTTTTGACACGTGCCCACAGGTATTTATTCTCTCTTGCAGCCACAGTGCAGACGCTTCCATTAACCCCAAGATATCCCCTCCAGTCTCTCTGCAGTCAGATCCTTCCTCCACCTTTGTCTGACCTCTGTGACTTTATTTTTGCCTTTCCTAAAGTTCGGATAGATGAATCTGTACCATTTTCATTCTCTGCTTTTTTCCAAATGTGATATGACATCTTGAAGTTACACCTGTACTGCTGTATGTCAATTACTTGTAACATTTTTATTACTGAATAGTGTTCCAGTGTGTGGCTATGTTTTATTTTGTTTGTCTCTTCAATAATTGATGGGCACTTTTTATAGTTCGTGGCTAACATGCATGAAGGGGTGACAGATATTTTCACACATGTCTTTAGGTGGAAAGTTTTATTTTTTCCCTTACTGGTAAATAAACTTCCAGTGGTGGAATGGATGGATTGTATCACAAATGCATGTTTAACATCTTATGATGTAGCTAAATAGATTTGAAAACTACCCTTGTCAGTTTGCATTCCCTCCACAGTGAGAGATTTCCAGGGGATCAGCAGCCTTGCCTTCGCTTGATGTCAAGCTCTTCAATTTTAGTCACTTTAGTAGCTTTGTGATACCATCTTACTGTGGCTTTAGTTATATTTCCCCAATGACTAATGACATTCACTATCTTTTGAATATGTGTTTGTCATTATATATAGCCCTTATTACTTTAATTATCAGCCTGACCCAATGTAGAGTCATCTGAGAGGGAAGTCTCAACTGAGAGATTGTGCAGATGGAATTTGTCTATGGCGGATTGTCTTGATTTTAATTGATGTAGGAGGGCCCAGCCCACCATGGATGGTGTCATTCCCCAGGAAGGTGATTCTGAGCTGTGTAAGAAAGCTGGCTGACTGGGGGTCATGCTGAAGCTAGGGCCATAGAGATCTGGGTGGCCTGTGCTGCCACCCAGGGCCATAGTGTCAACTGGGCCCGGGCTGCTGCCAAGGACCATGTCTGTGTCTGTGCAAGATCTGCAACTGAAGGCCACGTCTGGGTCTATGGCCCTACTGCAGTCAAGGTCTGTGTTGATGTCTGAGGCTCCAGTTACCATCAAAGGCCATGCAGATGCCCAAGGACTAGGGCTATGTTGGTGACTGAGGGCCACATGTCACTGGGGCCATGCCCATCTGAGTGACTTGCACTCCATCTGGGGCAATGATGGCATCCAGACTCAACTGCTGGCAAGGACCGTGCTGAATCCTGGCCTGTTAATAGACGGGTTCAGCCTAAGCTATCTGCTGTGGTCTGCAGGGCAGAGAGCAGGACTGGCCCCAGAGGGCCTGTTCACTTCCTCTAGTTCCAAGTCCCCTTAAATGAGGCAAAATTACCTTCTAATCTCTGTTATTTCTACTTAATGCTTCTAGAAAAGCCTCGCTTGACATTTTTAAGAGAAAAAGTTATGGGAAAGATAAGAGCACATGATGCTGTGTAGAAAGTGGAGGGCGGAGAATGCCTGTGAGCTCGTGTGCTCCGGGCCTCCCCGATGGAAATGGAGGCAGATGGGCAGTGAAGGCAGGCTGACACCCGTTCCCCCAAAACTGGGTAAGCTTCTCTGATACTTTCGCTGTGGGGTGGGGGCATCCCTTTACTGCCCCCACCTGGGGCATCGGGTTTACACTTTATCTTCTCACCTCTGGGGCACTCTGACTTTCTGTTCCATGCCATGCTTAGACTGCTTACCCAGCGGAGCCCTCCAGCCTTAAGGAGCACATCTTCTTCCTTTCATTTGTGTGACAGCATCTCCATCTTCAGTGAGGCCAGAGGGCAGACCTATGGATCCATGATGCTGAGCATCAAAATTGAGCAAAGTGTGTGCTGTCCCACATGTTTCTTTCTGCAACCTAGAGTATAAGTCAGTCTAGGTCCAGAGGCCTGGGAAGCAAGGGGCTAGGGGGCTGGGTGCTGAGGGCTGATGGCCCTCAGACTGGGAGCATCAGTTTCCAAGGACAGGTTAGACAGTGCCTCGGAGCAAATGGAGGCATGTCTGCTCTACTTTTGTGGCATTCAGGCCCCCAGACGGTCTGAGGGGAGCCCCCTCCCCGCAAGCAGCAGACCCTCTATATTCATTTCTGACCCCAGCACTGATCTCCAGACCCTCAGAAATAACATTCCACTGACCACTTGGGACGTCTCATTGCAGGCTGTGGAACACATGCTCTTTAGAGAAGTGACAAATGTGGACTCTGACCATCCCTGAAGCAGCATCTCCCAGAAGTGAGGTCACCAAACCAAATGTCCCTGTGGGTACACAGCCCGCTCCACACTGCACCTGCCCGCTGTGATCACAGGAGCAGATGTACTCACAGGAGGAACTGCGGGGCTCCCACTGACACAAAGGAGAGGAAAAAAAGGAGTCAATCCACTGATGACACCCAGGCCCCTCTCTGGCGATTGGGATGGTGACAATATAAATGTCAGGCCGGTCTCCAGGCAAGTGAGCATCTCTCCTGTGAGAACTCATTCCTATCTTCTCTCTACAGTTTTCCCTTGGATATGGTTGTCGTTCCCTAATACTCCTTAGGAATTCCTTGCATACTGGATAAAAGTTCTTAAATTTAAAAATTACATATAAAATTGTGTGTGTGTGTGTGTGTGTCTGTGTGTGTGTCTGTGTGTGTGTGTGTGATGTGAGTGTATGTGTGTGTGTGTGTGTGTGTCTCTGTGTGTGTGTGTCTGTGTGTGTGTGTGTGTGTGAGCACCTGCCAGCCACACAGTGCATGTGAGGAGGTCAGAGGACAATTTTTGGGAGTTGGTTCTCTCCTTCCACAATGTGAGTTCCAGAAATCAAACTCAGATCACCAGCCTTGGCA